AATTATTTATATGCTTAGTTATTATAAATATTATTTTATTTTTACGAATTTTCTTATTTTTGGTAGTTGTCTTATGAGATAAATATGCATATATTTGTAACTCCTTCTACAGCTCGGTTTAAGTTATAAGGTCTAGCTCTATTGAGATAGCCACCCAAGCTAATGTATAGTAAATTGTCACTCAAGGTTCATTAACGAAAAATGAACATGCTCAACTGTAGCTGCCCTCCCTTTATTATCTCTTAAGAATTATGATAGCCAGAATTGTTCTAAAGCTTTTATCGTCAAAAACAAAGGTTAATGAAGCGCTCCGCACGTGGAAAGAAAACAAAGTTCAATACGAATTAGCTAAGCAGACTATTAAATATTAAAATAAAAACAAAAATGTGTGAAAAATTATGAGAGATGTCATAATAGTTATATCAGATATGATATCTACCTAAAATAAAGGGGCACTGAACTCTGCGAACTGAGTTAAGTTAGCTGGCTTAATTTTCACTTTCTGGCATTCTTCAATTGTTTGCAGTGCGCCGAGAGTTAAGATTTTAGCACCAAGTTTAGGTCTTGGACAGCAACAGTTTTGGATTTTTATTTTTATTTTTTTGGCAGCCCAAGCGGTTTGTGTGCCTTGGCACGTGTCTGTCATAAAGCAATGGAAATCAATAAAATACATAGCCATTTATAGATTTATTGACGCAAATAATTATCCGATACTCATCATTCTTCATTTTTTTTTTTTTTTTTTTATCATACAGCACATTAGCGACGTCAGAGCGAACGAGAGAGCGCAAAGAGAGGAGAGCACACACACACAAGCAAAATGGCGGCCGTTGAAGTGCGCAATGGCTATAAGTACTATGGCTCCAAAAAGAATCCCAAGATTGTGCTCAACCAGCTGAATATGAACGTCATGCGTGGCTCCATGTGAGTGGCATTCATAATGAAACCCCAATCAGTCAATAGCTCTTACCTCTCCCCCCGCTCTCACCCCGCTCTCACTCACTCTCTCACTCTTTCTCTCCATCTGTAGCTATGGCCTGCTCGGCGCCTCGGGCTGTGGCAAGACAACGCTGCTCTCCTGCATTGTCGGCCAACGTAATCTCAATGGCGGCGAAGTCACTGTGCTGGGCGTTAAGCCCGGTCAGCCGGGCAGCGGTGTGCCGGGCTCTCGCGTCGGTTTCATGCCACAGGAGATCGCGCTGGTCGAGGAGATGACCGTCAAGGAGACTCTGTTCTATTTCGGTCGCATCTATGGCCTCACAGATGATCGCATTCGTGAGAAGTTCAAGATACTCAAGGATCTGCTGCAACTGCCGTCGGCAGGACAGATGATCAAGCAATGCAGTGGAGGACAACAGCGCCGCTTGTCCTTCGCCTGTGCCATGATACACGATCCCGAGCTGCTCATTCTCGACGAGCCCACGGTCGGACTTGATCCCATGCTGCGCGAAAAGTAAGTTCAATGCTCTTAAGCTTCTTATACTTCGTTATATATTTACTAAACACGTTTTTTGCTATTGTAGAATTTGGGACTTTCTAGTGGAAACGACTAGAAATAGCAAATTGGCTGTGATTATCACCACACATTATATCGAAGAGGCCAAGCAGGCGAATTACGTAAGTTGAAGTCTACAAAAAATAAACATTTTTATTTTATGTTTTCTTTTTTTTATAAACAATTATTCAATTAAGAGTTATGACAGCGCACATGATAGGCTGAAGTCAGCATCGTTCATTAAGTATATTTATATATACATATACTTCTCTTTATATATACTCATAAATAGAGGAATATATATAGAGTGATTAGCTAAGTTACTACTACTACTACTTTATCATTCAAATACTGCTTATATACAGAGAGAGAAATAGAGAGACTGACAGATAGTCAAAGATAGAAAGACTGCGAAGGAGACTAGGAATGAAAGAGCGAGAGACTGAAAGCCAAAGAAAGGGAGCCAAGGAAAGAGAGAGAGAAAGAAACTGAGAGAGTGCCAGGGAAAGAAAGAGGGACAGAGAGAGAGAGAGAGGGAGAAAGAGAGAGAGAGAAAGAGAGGGAAAGAGAGAAGAATTTACTTTTGGATGAATTTACATGTGATAAATCGACATAGCATGAGCTCTATGAAGCGGTATTCCCAGTCGGGTAGAGCCGCCGTCTTCCAGCTGTATCTCCTCGTATATAGCTTATTATTTTATAATATTATGAATCAGTTTCTCAACTTTAGCTTTAACTGCTTCCACTAACTAATTATTTACTTTCAAGTATTAAAATAATTATTATTATTTTATTTATTA